CTAATAAAATGTTAAAAAAGAAAAAAATAAAAATAAATAAATATTTCACAATACATAATTCCATATTGTTTTTGTGAGTCATTACTATGCTTTAATTATGTTCAATGTGTAACAATGAAACTATATCCTGCATGAGATATTTACATGACGATTCATAACAGTAGCAAAATGGCAGTTATGAAGTAGCATCGAAGCTAATTTTATGGTTGGGGGGGTCACCACAACACGAGGTCGTGGCATTAGGAAGGCTGACCACCACGGGTCTAGTTAAGTGTTAAGAGTCTGCCCTGGGCTTTATCCTGAAAGGACTTCCTCTCCAGCCGTGCATCTTTTAAAATGGCATTCTCTCTTCAGACCTGAAGGATGGCAGCTGGGAAAACTGCATTCTCTTAGTTTCCAAATCCCTCACAATAAGATCATCTTGAAATAGGCTCCTCTAAATATACATTTTAAAAAATGTAAAGGCTCTTTATTATATTCTTAAAGACTAGAACTGCAGGCAAACATAAACAATATCTGGAAGTCATTTGAAAGTGGGGACGTACGCCAATTTCCAACTTTGTATTCCATATTCAAAAGATTCCTAAACTAGTCGTGTTTGTAACCATTTCCCAAGGGAATAATTGCCATCCCCATGCCACCCCACAAAGGTCATGGTAGGAATGCTCTCAAAGGAGTGGGGAGGCTGAAACACCATGCATGGTGGTCTGAACTCCCGCACCATGGCATGTCACATCAACATTCTTTCGCTCAGGAACAGGAATGGGAGTAGAGGGAAGGTGGGTGGGAAAAGGGAGATAAAGGAGGAAACGATCACAATGACTGACTATAATACCACCCCCCACGGGGGAGGGGGGACAAACGGAAACATGGGTGAAGGGAGACAGCAGACGGTGTAAGATATGAAAATAATTAATAATTTATCGAGGGGTCAAGAGGGTGGAAGGGGAGGGGAGGGAGGGTGGAGGGAAAGAGGAGTTGATACCAAGGGTTCAAGTAGAAAGAAAATGTTTTGAAAACGATGATGGCAACGTATGCACAAATGTGCTTGGTACAATGGATG